CCCCCCCACACACACACTCCTGTCATGCAGCCTAGCATCTCAAGGCCCTGTGTTCTGGGCCGTGCACGGCCCAGGGTGAACCTGAGGAGGAGCAGTGAAGAACTGAAGAAAAGACAGACAGGGAATACAGCTGGGGCTCAGTAGATCTCCTGTGCCTGGATGAAGGAGCAAAAGACCCAGCCTGCAAGCTGATGCTTTATTTTATAGTCTGATTAAAACAAGGGTAGATGAACATGTACACAAATGTTCTTGTTTTGGCAACACTTGCTGCACCTCCCACAGCCCATTAGCTACTTAGGACGGAATTAGGGAGGGCTACAAGGTCAGGCTTCATTATGCTAGGAGAGCTCTGCCCTCCAGGCTGGGACTTGTTTAAGGGACTTGACCTGCCATAGGTCAGCCCAAGGCTTGACCCTAGAGCCTCTCCCTACAGTGTCTGACACAGGGCTGGGCTCATGGCCATTAGGGCTGAAGGATTCATGTCTGGAGTTTGGCTCTGGGGTTGCTGGTTAGGACCCACAGGCAGCACCCAGCCCTGGCTCTGTCCAGGTGGTGGGATTGGGTGCGGGGGAGGGGGGTTCTGGTCAGCCCTGGTCAGCGCAGAACCCAAGTGGCTCCCTGGGCCGAGTCCCTCCCACTTCGCTGCAGGGGCAGGCGCTGCCAGATTCCACTGCCCAGGGCGTAGTTCACAGCATTGACTGTGGGCACCATTTTGGCAATGAGAGCGGGCACCTGTTATTGCAAAAACACCAGGAAAGAAATTGCAAAGCCTCTGCCTATCTCCCTGGTCCCACCTGGTGATCCCCTCCAACCCCCAAGGCCCCATCACTGTCCTGCTGCCCTGTCCTCTCCGATTAGGGGTCCATGTGTCTTGTCTGGGAGCACATGGCTCTGGGCACAACCTTAGTCCCTGGCTCCAGAGGAACGTCCCCCTCTAGCCATCTGCCCTGTCACCTTACCTGAGGCTTAGGCAGCATCAAGCAGCTGCCCTTGTGGCCTGGGCGACAAGCACAGTCCCAGTGAATTATGGGTATTTAAAGGAAGAGAGAAAGAGAGAATATCATGGAGGTAGGAAAGCAAGAGAGAGGCAAAGGTGGAGTGAGCCCAGGCTCTGGCACTGGGGGTCCCTTACCACCTGCAGCCTGGGGGGGATGAGGGCCGTGCCCGCGAGGGCTGCACAGAGATGCAGGAGGGCGTAGGGGCCCCAGCCAAGCAGCAGCGTCCTGGCTGGCAGAGTGGTATTCACCTGGGGAGAAATGGGCACGGAGGGGGCATGACTGCCCTGACGGCTGGCAGCCCAGGCAGCCAGGGACCGTGCGGGCATGTGCAGACTGGCACGTTGCCAGGCTGCAGGAAGGGGCTGAGCTTGTGGGGGAGCTTGGGGCCCCAGGGGCCCTTCTGCCATTTCAGATGCACAGCCTCAGCCTGTCATGTAAGCTTGCTTAGCCTCAGTTGCCTTGTCTGTAAAATGGCCAGATTCTACCTGACTGGCCTGGAGGCAGGGTCTGGTCGAACCCGGGCTCCCTGAGTATGTCTGTGTGCACAAGGGTCCCTGCGTGGCCCTCACACCTCAGCCTGGGAACCAGCTCTCCTGCAGCTGCACTGGGGTCCTGGGCTCAGAGGGGCCGCTTCCCACGCTGGAGACACAACCGGGACAGGCGATGTGGTGCCACTCAGGGGGCTTTTCGCTCTCGATCTAATTGTAAGAGGAAGTTGCCATGCTCTCCTCTCACGTGCGCTTGGGCGAGGACTTGTGAGCCTAAACCTCAGTGTCTGTAGACTGTGTTCCTTTCACAGAAGGACTAAGCGCGCGGCCGGGTCGGGGCCAGGGCCAGGGCGGCGCCCGCTGATGTTGTCAGCCTCATGGTTTAAGTCAACTCGGAAGAACGAGGACGCCCGCGGCAACCTGATCTCCGGGCGATGGCACCGGCCTGCGGGGCGACCCGCTAGGGAGCTGCACCCGGAACCTGAACGCAGTTCAGGGTCCCAGCACAGCCTGGCCCTCCTGCTGTGACTCAGGGCCCCGCCTGCAGCTCGCAGAGTGTGCCCCGCTTCCAGGTCAAAGGGAAGCACCTGCGCAGGCGTCTCAGCGGCCCGGCTCCCTTTCCTGCCCCACTGCAGCGCTGGCAGAGGGCTCAGCCAGCCCCTCAATAAGACCGCTCCTCCTCTGGGAGTTGCGAAAATGTGCCATTAATACCTGGATTTAAAAATCTCTGGTGCTTGTTTTGACTCATTTGCTAAAGATTATCCAGGTGACAAAGGTAAAACTGTGGCAGGGAAATACCCTGCGGAAATTCAGAAGTGGCCGAGGGTATAGTTCACGTCGCGGGGAAGAGCTGGTGCCTGAGATTAGATTCATCCTTTCCACGCGTTCAAGCAGCTTTGAAAAAGCATGCGATTTTGCCCGGCTGCTGTAGCTCAGTGGTTGAGCATCGACCTGTGAACCAGGAGGTCATGGTTTGATTCCGGTCAGGGCACATGCTCGGGTTGTGGGCTCAATCCCCAGTGTGGGGCATGTAGGAGGCAGCTGATCAATGATTCTCTCTCATCATTGATGTTTCTTTCTCTCCCTCTCCCTTCCTCTCTGAAATCAATAAAAAATTTTTTTTTTTTTTTTTTAAAAAGCATGTGATTTTGTGCCGGCCCTCACGTCCTTGAGAAGAACCGTAACAGTGTGGACGGAGTCTGGCAGGGCCCTGGCTTTCCGGGCTCAGTGTCCAGCCGGTAAGCCTGAGCAGCCCTGGCCCTTCCCCAAGGTCATGGCGACCAATCCCCAGCACCCACAGGGGGGCGCTCTCGCCCTCCCCTGGGACAGCTGCATTGCTTCTGATTGTTGAACACACAGGAACCCCATTGCATCTGCCACGTTCCCAAGCAGCCCAGAGCCCTCTGCTCCAGGGTTAGGCCTTACCTGGGGGGTCCTGGTCCTCCCGAGTTTCTGTTCCATGAGGCGATAGGATGTGAATGTGATGAAGAGGGGCAGGAGGAAGTTGAAAAGGGCCATGACGAAGAGGAAGCTGGTGAAGTTTCTGCAGGTAGAGGGGAGCGGGAGGCTGTCACTCAAGGGTGAGAGCTCCCCGAGTCCCTCCGCCTCAGCTCCGGGCAGTCGCATGAGGGAACTGCTCCCACGAGATGGGAGCTCAGAGTGTGGCCACTCCCCATCCTGCCTGCACTCCCCTCAGAACCAGGAAGCCACCAGGGTCTCCTAGACACCCCGAAGGAGCCAGGGAGCTGGGTGAGGGTCCTCCTTCACTAGCTGTTGCCCATCCAGGGGCCCAGCTCAGTGTGTGCCCCCAGCATGGGGGGTGGGCACTTCTGTTTGGAAACCATGTTTACCAGATGGAGATGCCAATGGACCAAGAGGAAGGAGCATTCCAGGAGTGTTCCTGGCACAGGGATTTTAAAGGGGCCTGTGGATGGCAGAGACTGGGCACTGTGTCACTGAAGAAATTGCTGTGGCCATGGGAGGTGCAAGGGCCGACCCTTCGTTAAGAAGATACCATGTCACTGGCCAGTGTTGAGAGTTGACCTATGAAGCAGGAGGTCACAGTTCAATTTCCTGTCAGGGCACAGGCCCGGGTTGTGGGCTCCATCCCCAGTAGGGGATGTGCAGGAGGCAGCCAATCAATGATTCTCTCTCATCGTTTATGTTTCTCTCTCCCTCTCTCTGAAATCAAGAAAAAACATATATTTTTTAAAAGAAGATACCATGTCACCTTGGTGTTGTCCACTAAGGGCAGGTGGGGGAAGGGGTGCCGGAAGGATGGGCACAGCCTGGGAAACACTGCCCAGAGTGCATGGCAGGTACTGGGAGGACCCAGGGTTCTCAAGTGGGTTTTGTCAGGGGCAGACACTTCATGAGCAAATGTGAGTAAACATATAAAGCAGCAAATGCAACACGGTTCTAGTGGAAGTGAGAGGGCAGCTGGAGCTCATGTGGCCCCTCCTCTCAGTCCTGGTCTCCCAGGGCCCCCGGGGGGGGGGAGGGGGAGACAGGCAGTATTAGACATGGCTCCCTGACAGCGAGCCTTGTGCATCCACTGTCTCTCCAGGGCTGGCCCAGGGCCTGGCTGCCACAGAGGCTCAGGGGATTTAGAGACCTGAGCACTGTGCCAAGGAGGTTCCTCCCAAAGCAAAGACCGTGACATTCCCTGAATCCATCGAACCCCAGGGCAGGACTCCCTGTAGAAAGCAAGCAAGTCGAAGCTCCGATGGCTGACTGCTGAGATGGCCAAGGGTCCTGGCTCAGCAGCTGCTACCACCAACCAGGCCAGTGCTCACAGCCGGCTGCTGCCGGGCCCACCTCTGCCCTCACACTGCAACCATGCGTCACTCAGCCGGTCAGAGTGGGTTTCCCTGCCCACCGTCAGCCTGCAAGTGGGCATCACAGCTGAGGAGTTGGGATTGCCTGGCCAATGTTGGATTTTCAGCTATGACATCGCTGTCCCCTGGAAGGGCGCCTCCAGCCTCACCTGCTCCCCCTGGCGTAGCCCAGACTGCAGCAGGTCCCCAGGGGCTCGTAGTCATAGTGGCCCCAACCCAGGAGGGGCAGTGCTGCCCAGAAGGCTGAAGACAGCCACACGAAGAGCACCAAGGAGGCGGCTGTGCGCCATGCCAACCGGCTGCCTGCAGGGAGGAGGAGGGTTGTTGAGAGGAGCTGATGGAAGAACAGTGGGCTTCGTGAATGTCGGCTTCATAGGTCAACTCTGGGCACAATGACCAGAAGCAGCAGTCTGCTCCGGACTCAAGAGCTCTGGGCATGGAGTTTGGGCATCTCAATGCCACGGGTGGAGGCTAGGTCCTGACAGTGTTTTTGGTCCTGACAGTGTTTTAGGTCCTGACAATGTTTTTGGCCCCAGTGGCCTGACCTTCCCCACCTACTTCCCTCACATCCTCACCCAGCTCTTCCCTCCAGGGCTGCCTCCTGGTCTTGCTGCAGAAGGCCTTTCCCAGATGCCTTCTCTGTCCATAGCTCATGTTCCTCTGTGGACAGGACTCAGGGGATCAGCAGAGAAGAGCAGGTCTACAACCCCCTCACCTGACACTGGTTCTATGGACACAGCCCCAGATAGAGTTGGCTTGGATATGTCCCCTTCTATGAACTAAATCTTTATGCTTCCCATCCAAAATTCATACCATGAAGCCCCAGAACCATGTGGACTTTGGGAGGCACTTAGGTCCCAAGAGTGGAGCCTCCATGATGGATTAGTGCCCTTCTATGAAGAGATAAGGCCCAGCCAGTGTGGCTCAGGGGTTGACATCAACCTATGAACCGGTAGGTCACAGATTGATTCCCAGTCAGGACACATGCCCAGGTTGTGTGCTCAATTACCAGTAGGGGGCGTGCAGGAGGCAGCTGATGGATGATTCTCATCATTGATGTTTCTATCTCTCTCTTCCTTTCCCTTCCTCTCTGAAATCAATAAAAATACGTTTTTTAAAAAGAAGAGATAAGAGAGAGATGATCTCTTTCTCCTCCATGTAAGGACACAGCAAGAGGCAGCACCTGCAAACCAGGAAGA